ACCTGTTTATTGCTTTTGTTAGGGAGGTATGGTGGGAAAAGAGAGGAAGCCAGACTTACATTCTAGAGTCTGAATAGTATACTTTGCATTGTTCCTAGGAACTCCAAAATGAAGTTAATAGTTAAGAGTAGAGGTAAGGCTATATAACTTTGAATATTAGGCAGAGTGTTTGAGAAATACTAGCTCAGTTACAGTTAATACATGGATTAAATAAATGTGCTCTAAATCTTTTTGAATTTAAGTTTTTCTTTGTGGGCCCAGAAGAATTTTTAAAATGTGAATTTTATTCCTGATTGCAAAAATAGCATGTGTTTTTCAGAACAATTTGGAAAAGTTTAAAAAATATAAGAGAGAAAGTAGAAATCACCTGTGCTTCCAAAATGGGTGTGACATAATTTACCTCATTAGCCCAGTGTTGGTGGATTTTTAGGTAGTTCTTTTGTTGTTGTTTTTTACTGTTGCAAACAGCGCAGCTTCAACATCACTGTATACATGTTTTTTCTTACTTTGGAAAGGGTAGGGTAATTTTCCTCCAAAAATGTACCAGTTCATATTCTCACCAACAAGGTTTTAACTAACAACTTTGTAAACCTTGATTAATAAATTAACTTTTAGCCCTGGCCGGTTTGGCTCAGCAGTTAGAGTTTAGGCCTGCAGTCCAGAGAGACCCGGGTTTGGTTCCCGCTAAGGACACATAACTCGGTTGCAATTTGTCCCCATCCCCGGCCCTGGTTGGTCGTGTGGGTGGCAGCCACTCGATGTGTCCCTTTCATGTCGGTGTTTCTCTCTCTCCCTCCCACTCTATCTTAACAGAAAATGGAAAAATGTCCTCGGGTGAGGATAAAAATAATAATAAATTAAAAAAATAAATTAACTTTTAAATTATGAATATCCTTTTGATACTGCACCAAAACTTGACAGGTGATTGTTTCTTAAAGGTCAGTTACAATGTAGGGTTAGAAACAGTATGAAAAAAAAATGTTTTCTGTTCTCTCTTACAATAAAATCCATCTTACTTTGTTTTTTAATATTTTGAAAATTGATTTTTAGAGAGCGATGAAGGGAGAGATAGAAACATCTGTGAGAGAGACACATCGATTGGCTGTCTCCTGCAAGCCCACCACTGGGACTTGAGCCCACAACCCTGGGCATGGGCCCTGACCAGAAATCGAACTGTTGACCTCTTGGTCCATGGATCTTGATGCTCAACCACTGAGCCACACTGGCTGGGCAAAATCCATCATACTTTGAATAGATCAGTTACCCCTGCTTGATTTTTGTAAATATATTTATTGCTGATTTGGAAAATACTAGTTCTCTAAATTAGGTAGATATTTCAAATACACATTCCATTTAAATTTAAATTTAAATCTTAATAGTTAATATCACGATTTCATCAGAAAGGATTCGTTTGTTTCTTTAAATATTGAGAAGCTGTTAAATCCATCCTGATACATATAAATTTTGCAAAATCCTAATTTTTACTTGAAAGCATGAATTTTATTGTTGGTAACAAATAGGAACAAATATTTATTTTAGTTTTTCTTAATAGCGTATTTAATTTCGAAAATGCCTTTTATTTTTCATTTTTTTGCTTCATCGCACTGTTGAATAGAGGGGGGGAAATTGGACATCCTTCTCTTGCTCCTGGTCATAAGTGGGAAGCATTCAGTCTTTCACTTTCAGTATGAGGCTAGCTGTGAGTTTTTCTTAGATGCCCTTTACTAGGTTGATGAAGTTACCTTATGTTTCAGATCTGCTGAGAACTATGTCAGATGCTTTTTCAGCATCTATTAAGATGCTCTTATGTGTATTCATATTTATTCTGTTATTATGGTGAGTGACATCGGTGGGTTTCTGAATGGTAACCCAAATTTGCATTCCTGGGTTAAATTATCCTCGTTCATCCCATCTTGTTCACACTTAACCTGTAATGTCCAATCCAGACCTGAAAAGATACAGTGTATGCTCAAAGCGCATTCGTTGAATTAATCAAGACTGAAATTTCTTAAGTGGTTTTCCATTTTTGGAAACATTTGAAAAAAATCAGTCATTTAATAAACCAAAATATATTGCTACCTTATTCAGTGATCATTTCACAACAACTTTAACTACTAGAAATATAAAGGGTGACTCAGAAGGAAGTAGAAAAGCCCTTTGACAGTACTTCCAATGAAGAACTTCAAAACCTGTTTATTTTACATTCTATATATAGTCCCAACAAGCTTGATGTTCTGGTTTCCTTGCACCCAGATCAGAAGCAACAAACTAAAGAGTCAAAATGAGTTATTAGAGGTTGCTAAAATTAAACACTTTCTGTATTATAGAGGGAGAAAATCATTGTAGAAATAATTTTAAAAGCTTACTAGCTGAGGGCTGTTGATATATTTTGATTGCCTCCATAGGCTCTTAATGTATATAGTTTACTAAAAGTTGTATTTCAGAGTTAGAATAAACTTGATTGAATCTATCATACACTTTTACACATGTGAGGGGTAGATGACACACACATGATAAGAGTGGCTCTCACTAAGGTGATTGCCAGTGGCAAGGGGAAATTGTGTGTGTGTGAGAGAGAGGGGGGGGGGGGGGGAGAGAGAGAGAATGGAGATGCTGAATGTGCACATAGGAGTGTATGAGAATTTCTGTTTCTGGGGAGGAGGCCATGTATGCAATTTGAACTTGTCCCTGTCCCCTCATCCCTGCCATGATTATATTTTCTTACTTCCTTATCTTCAGATATTCTGCTGCCTCATTCATGTTCACATTTGGGAAAAACTGGTCTTACGCAAACTAGTAACACTATAGATAAGCCAATACAAGCCTACTTGAGAGGTTGAATGGTTAATATTAGGACAAACTAAGAATCTAGTTGTCCTGGCTTCTAGTTTAATGTTTTCTGTTATTCCTCTGCAATGAATAATATTCAAAATGACTGAGTAAATAACAAGAATAAAATTATGTTCCCCAAACTCTTTATTTTAAAAAGAATGGGAAAGTTTTAATTAAAAGATTTTTTTCCCTTCTAAAAAAACCCTAAACCACTCATAAGAAAAACTGAGGCATTTAAGATGGGAGAAGTTTATTTCCTCATGATGAATAAATAGATAAGTGCAATGTTAAGATAAATTGATTGCCTATTTACGTTGGTTTATTGGGAGTTTTCTTGTTCTAGAAATAAAATACAGATGATTTCTGTGTATTTAGACTTTATATTTGGAGTTTGATTATTTTGTACTGTTGAATAATTATTTAGTAATTGGTGACATAGATCAGGAGACTTCATTATCTCCCAGTTTCTATGTATCAGGAATCCAGGCATAACTTAGCTGGGTCCTCTGTTGAGGGTCTTGCCAGGCTGAAATCCAGGTGTAAGACCAGGCTGCAATCTTAGCTGAGGCTCAGTCTTCCTCCTAGCTCAGTGGTTATTCCCAGAATTCAGTTCTTCATGGCTATGGGACCAAGTCTTTAAGTTCCTAGAGCCTGCCCACTGTTTCCTGACATGTGACTTTCTTTATAACATGGGAGTTTGCTTCTTTAAGGCCAACAGGAAAGGTCTGTTGCTTTGAATCTGAATGTATCTGACTTCTAGACCCTCTTTGTACAGGGCTTGAGAAACACTTCTACTGTCTAACAAAAAACCACATGATTTCTTAAAGCCCAGATACACATTCTAATACACTTTTCAGGAAATAGGTTCTTGAAGAGAAAAGATTCTCCAAGTGAAAGACTAACAACTTTATTCTGAAAAGAAAAATAATTAAATTATTTAACTTAAAGTAAAGTGGGCACAATTCCAGGCCAGTTTATGGATTGTACACACTTTGGCTTTAAGCATTGCTATATTCTACAACAATTTAGCTCTAATACACACTGAGGCAAAACAAAACAGAACAATTTATGTTTTTAATAGAATTTATTTTTGACTTTCCTTTTCTCTGTATGCAGAATTTTCCAGAGAAGCATCACCCATAAGTTTGTACCTACTTTAGATTTTAAACAATAACAAAACATCAATAAAAAATCAAACACTAGCCCTGGCCGGTTTGGCTCAGCGGTTGGAACGTCGGCCTGCGGTACAGAGAGACCCGGTTTCGGTTCCCGCTAAGGGCACGTACCTCGATTGCAGTTTGTCCCCGGCCCTGGTTGGTCGTGCGGGTGGCAGCCACTCGATGTGTCCCTTTCATATCGATGTTTCTCTCTCTCTCTTCCTCTCTCTCCCTCCTGCTCTATCTGAACAAAAAATGGAAAAATGTCCTCAAGTGAGGATAAAAAAAAAAAAAAAATCAAACACTAAAACCAATCACTGTTCTCTCATGTATGTGGAGGTCACATTCAACTAATTGCCTTGTATGCATTTGAATATGCAGTTATTGAAATAAAAGACAGGTGTAAAAATAAATAAATAAATGGCTTACCTGATTAGGTCAGCCCACCAGAATACTCTCTTGATTAATTTAAAGTCCACTGATGGAGGTATTAATTACCTTTGCCATAAAACATAATCTAATCACAAGTGAAAACCGAGAATTTGCCCACACTTAGCAGGAGGAGAGTATACAGGGTGTGTACACCACAGGATGGGAATCTTGGAGGGTGATCTTAGCATTATGCCTAGGACAGGCTTATTAAAGAGAACAGTGACGCTTTTGTTCAGTGAAAATCAAATCTTTCCTGTGTGCCCAGCATTTCTCTAGGTCATGGAAATATAAGGCTAAAATGCCCAGTTCCTGTCTTTGATGAGGTGGTAGAGACCAACAATGAAGCACTGTTTGTAATGTAGTTCAGTCATGCAGCTGCAGTAGAGGTGTAACCAGGCTGCACTGTTCAGTAGGAGAAGCCTAGGTCAGGAAAAGTTTATTGTATGTATGGGAAGTGTAAAACTACTACAGTTCTTGAGACTACAAAATTAAAATACTTGTTTATTGAATTTTGGAGGAAGAAAAGTTTGACATTGAAAATGAGGAGATTATTAAAATTCTTTTTTTCTTTTCCCCCAGATGGTATACCTCAAGTTTACTATTTTGGCCCTTGTGGTAAATACAATGCTATGGTGCTAGAACTGCTGGGACCTAGTTTGGAAGATTTGTTTGATTTGTGTGACCGAACATTTTCTCTTAAAACAGTTCTCATGATAGCTATCCAACTGGTAAGTAAAGCAGGGTGTTCTGAAGTTGTTTGAACAATTGTTTGGTTCTTTAGTCACAAATTTATATGAAGAGTTTCAAGTTTTGCTACATTATCTTGCAGAGCACTCAACTTAATAAAAATGTTTCTGCTTTCATATTATTGTCTTTTGAGGATGCATATAACTTAACTGAATCAGGGTGTATTTTATTTTTATGAGAGAATTAATATTTTATTGCTTTAAGGACAGAATGCTTATTTTGAGAATTAGGTTGTTTCCAGCACTTTTCATTTAGAAGATGAATACTTAGAAAAAAGAACCCTCAGAAACATGGACTCTCAATCTTCGTAATAAATGCTAACGGCTGAGAAAAAGAGGAAACAAATTAATGAGACAGTTTTCTAAATTATTTAAATTTTAGGGAACCTATGTGGAAACAAACTCAGAGGATGATTTTAAGGTAGTTTTGAAATAAATGCCACTTAGAAGTATACTGCAGAAGCCTTAAAATTGTTTTTATTCATTAACTCATTAATTCCACTTCTATAAATTTATCCTATGGAAGTATTCAGATGTACTAAAGTTTTTTGTGCAAGGATATTTATAATAAAGTGGGAAACAACCCAAATGTACAGAAATAACAGGATTAGTTGAATAAATTGTTAATAGCTATAAAATAGTAAAGTATGTATTTAAAGTAATACATATCTTTAATGCAAATTATGTATTAAAAGAAAGTTTCATGACCTGGAAAATCTCATAATTTATCATTAATTAGAAGTATAGGTCACAGAATATTACATAATTCAAAATTTGTTAATAAACTAAAATGGCCTGAGTAACTATATGTTTACTCTGCATTGTCACCCATGATTATCACTAAATTATGCAATTTTATTTTCTTATTTGTAATGTTCTATTTTGTGACAGTTTGTACAGTGAACATTATTTGAGAATTTGTAAAACAATAAAAATGTACTGTATCATTATTTGAGCTATATTTGAAAATTTTCCAGTTTCAGGATCTTTTACATTGTTTCATGCCTAAGGATAAAAGTAAAGTAAACAAGTTACAAAAAAATTAAAGAAAAAAGAAAGAAGATATACTAAAGAATGTTCTGTTAATTGTTTTTATTTAACAGTTTGGACTCTTGAAGATTTTAAAAGATAATTGTAAAAGTTGATGATTGAACTGATAAGAAAAAATAAATTACAACTTTATGAATATGTTTCTTTATATTTTTAAGATTTACTATTGGTAAAGCATTTTGATTTTATGATGTAGCATCATCTGAAAGTATTGATTGAATCAGTCTTACTTATTTGAAAGGAATTCATAAAATTCAAACACTTTCATTATAAGTGACTGCAATAGTAAAGGAAATATTTTAAAATCATAATCAGATATATATTTGAGAAACTATAGACTGATATAATGTTACTTTTAAAGAATTGAAACAATTTCTGATTTTTTTCATGTTGTTTTTATTGTAAAAGTTGTTTTGCCTTAGCAATGTTTTTTTTATGGTAGTCAAAGCCTAAAATAAAATGTATCTTCTTTTTTTAAAATCAAGATTTCTCGCATGGAATATGTTCATTCAAAGAACTTGATATACAGAGATGTAAAACCTGAGAACTTCTTAATAGGACGACCAGGAAATAAAACCCAGCAAGTTATTCATATTATAGATTTTGGTTTGGCAAAGGAATATATTGATCCAGAGACAAAGAAACACATACCATACAGAGAACACAAGAGCCTTACGGGAACAGCTAGATATATGAGCATAAATACACATTTAGGAAAAGGTATGTGTACCTTTTGTTTGAATTCAGTAACTATTCTCAATGGTGTGAGTTTTAATATTTGTTATTATGCTTCAGTTTTTGCAGATTACAATTGCTTCTATTATAATTTTTGTATATCACATATAACTAGAATTTACTTTTATTTATATTTAATAAAACATTTAAAAAATAAGTTGCTCTAGAGTAAATGAATGACAGATTTTCTTGCATTCACTATATCTTTCTTTTAATGTAACTTGGAATGTTCAACTTTGATACAGTTAGGTTGATGCATTTGATTACTCCTATTAAAGGATATGAGAGAATACTTAATTGTAACTAAATTTAGTTTGTGCGGAGATTTTTGATTGAGACTATCGTACTTTGAAACAGTTAGCCAGGGAACTAACAAATAGGCTAATGCTTTTAATGCTGAGAGTACATACCTTAGTGGTACTGTTTACTGTGTTCTAGCTATATGACTGGTTTCCTTATTTGTAAAAAGGATAAAATAGTATCAGTCTCACAGGGTTTCTTAGAGCATTTCTTTTTCCTGGTCCAGGATCACACATTTCATTTATTTGTCATATTTACTTAGTTTCCTATCATCTGGAACAGTTCCTCATCTTTCTTTGTGGTTCATAACCTTAATATTTTTGTGCAGTACAGACTATTTTATAGAATGCTCTCGATTTGGGTCAGTCTGATATTTCTTCATGATTATATTTAGATATGCATTTTTAGCACAAATATAGAAGTGATACGTTCTCAGTGCATCATGTCAGGACGTACATGATGTCTCATGGTTCATTTCTTTAAGGTATTGTCTGCTTTCTCCACTTAAAAGTTTCTTATTTTCCCTTTGTAATTAAAAAGTGTTTTGTAAGTAGATCTTTGAGATTATGTAAATATGTTGTTCCTCATCAGGTTTTTACCCCACTAGATTTAGCATCCATTGATGATTTTCTAATTCCATCCCTTATGTAGTTAGTTGATATTCTGATGTAAGCAAAAGCTTTCCCTTCTGCCATTTGTTGACTTTTATCAATATTGACTTATGGATTCTTATCTTATTGAATATATTATAGTACGTTACTATTATTTTTTAATTTGATGCTCAGATTGTCCCAGATTAGGCTACTGGTTGCTCCATCAAGTTGGTTCCTCTGTACTTTTAGCAGGTTCTCATGATTCTTTGAGAATTTCTATACTTTCTGGTTCAACAAGATGTTCAAGGCTCATCTCGTAGTTTCTCTGCGCTAGTCCAGAAACAGATATTTCTCCAACAAGCCCCGGGTTCTTTTATTGGATAGTAGTACATGTAGAAACCAAGATTTGGGCACTAGGTATCATTCTACTGATACGTTATTGCTTCTAGGCCCTTTCTGCAGCAGAATTAGAAAGTATATGTATGTGAATATACACATACATACTCATTTGTGTGTATACACATACATATGCACATGTAAATATACCTACACATCTATATGCATACATATATAAATACCTATTAAAAACCATGTGTTTATACTGATACTTCTCGTTTCAGTCTAACACCACAAAGTAATATTGCCTCCTTTTTTTATTCGTAATTCCCGCCCTTTCTCTGTATTTATATCTTCCTTTGCCAACAATGAAAAAAGTGGCTGCCACTACTCTAATATACTTATTTTTAGAAGCCTAGGATACTAAGAATATAGTTTCAGAATTGGAAACTGATAACACACAAAGCAAGCTCACTAGATTTGCAATATTTGTGATTCCTTTATTTTAATTGAAGAGTTCTTTTTGAATTGAAGTAAAATTTAAATTGAGTAAAATACACATTTGCATGTATAATTTGTGGAAATTGACAGATATACACATTTGTGTAACTCATAACCCCATTGAGATGTAGAATATGGTCATCACCCTTTAGACTTCCTTCTTGCTTTTTCTCAGTAATTGATCTCATTTCTGTCACCATAGATTAGTTTTGCCAGTTATATTACTTCCTATAAATTATATGACCTCTTTGCTCAGTATAATATGTATGAGATTCATCTATCTTATTGCAAGTGTCAGGACTTGGTTCCTTTTTATTTATTTATTTATTTATTTTTCACCCTCACCCAAGGACATTTTTGCATTTATCTTCAGATAGAGCAGGAGGGAGAGAGGAGGGAAGAGAAACATTGATGATGAGGGAAATATTTATTGGCTACCTCCTGCACACCCTTACTGGGGGATTCATCCCAAAACCCAGGCATGTGCCCTGACTGGGAATCTAACCTGGGACCCCCTGGTGCATGGGACCATGCCCAACACTTGAGCCACACTGGCTGGGCTGTTGTAAATCTTTTACTGGCATGTGTTTTCATTTCTTTTGAGTAAATAACTAAGATTAGAATTGGTGGGTCATATGGTAGATATGCTTAACTTTTATAGAAAGCCGCCAGTCAGTTCCCTAAAGCATTCATACCAATTTTTATTTCTACCAGCAGTAAATGAGAGTTCAGTTTGTTTATGTTCTTGACAACATTTGATGTCCTTTTCATTTTAGTCATTCTAGTAGATACATAGTGGTATTTTATTTCTCTGTGGCTAATGATTTTGAGCGCTACTTAATGTGCTTATATTGTTTTTTATATCTTCATTTTATTATTGATATGTAGGAATTTTTAATATTTTCTGGATCTAAGCCTTTGCTAAGTATTTTTATTGTGTTCTGTGGCTTGACTAGTCATTTCCTTTTCTTAATTTTTTTTTTTAATCCTCACCCAAGGATATTTTTCCATTGATTTTCTAGATAGAGTGGAAGGGAGGGTGGGAGGGAGAGAGAAACATCGGTCTGAGAGAGACACATCGATTAGTTGCCTCCTGCATGGCCCCGACTGGGGCCAGGGTTCGAACCTGCAACTCAGGTATGTGCCCTTGACCAGGAATCAAACCCACAACCCTCTGGTCTGCAGGCCGAGGCTCTAATTACTGAGCCAAATCAGCCAGGGCCTTTTTTTTTAAAGTTTTTTTTTTAATCCTCACCGGAGGATATTTTTCCATTTATTTTCAGACAGAGTGGGAGAGAGGGAGGGAGGAAGCGAGGGGGGGGGGGAGAGAGAGAGAGAGAGAAACATTGATTGGTTGTGTCCCGCATGACCCTGACCAGAGCTGGGAACTGAACCTGCAACCGAGTTACATGCCCTTGACCAGAATCCAATCCGAGACTCTTCAGTCCTCAGGCCAACCCTCTAATCTCTGAGCTACACAGGCCAGGGCATTATTTTAGAATTTTAAGAGTTCTTTGTATATTTGGATAACAGTTTTTTATGAGATGTGCCTTCTGCAAATATTTTTTCCAATCTATATAGCTTATCTTTTCATTCTCTTGACCATGTCTTTTGCAGAGCTGAAGTTATTAATTTTAATGAAGCACAGTTCATCATTATTTCTTTTGTGGATCATACTTATGGTATTTTATCTAAAAAAATTATTGCCAAACCCAAGGTCATCTAGATATTTTTCTTGTGTTATTTTCTAGGAATATTATAATTTTGTGTTTAACACTTAGATTTGTGATCCACTTTGGTTGATTTTTTTTAAGGGAACAATGTCTGTGACGAGATTCATTGTTTTTTGCACGTGCGTATAGAGTTGTTCCAGCACCATTTGTTGAAAATACTTATATTTGCTTCATTGTATTGTCTTTGCTCCTTTCTCAAAGATCAATTGACTATGTCTAGGCTATCTATTCTGTTTATCTGTTTGTCTATTCTTTTGCCAGTACCATACTGTCTTGATTACTGTAGCTGTATAGTAAGTCTTGAAGTAGTGTATATTTTAATGTATTCTTTTTGGTCTTCAACTGTATTTTTGCTTACTTTTGTTATACCCAAACATAGATGCTCAATTGATTTTTGAGAATGGTACAAAAATAATTAAAGGTAGTAAAGGATAGTTTTGTAAAGAAACTGTGTGAAAATAACTAGATATCACTGTTAAAAATATTAATCTAAATCCTTACCCCACACCAAAATTAAATTAAGAAAATTACTTCAAATGAACCATAGATTCAAATATAAGAATCAAAACTATAGAATTTCTTGAAGAAAAAGTAGGAGAAAAGTTTTTGTTACCTTAGGGTAATCAAAGATTTATTAGATAGGACAAAACAGGATTAACAATAAAAGAAAAAAACCCTGATACATTGGGCTTCTTTCAAAGAACAGAAGCCTACATTATGATGAAACATAATTTATCAAGGTGGGAGAAAGTATTTGTAAAATTTATGTGTGAAAATGACTTTTATCCAGAATAAACAAACAATTCTTATAACTTTAGAATAAGACAAAGAGTAGAACTTAGAAAATGGTAAAATATCTGATCAGACACTTAACAAAAAGATGTATGAATGACCAGGAACACATGGAATGATGTTCAAAAATATTAGTTACTAGTGAAATTCAAATTTAATCACAATGATCAAACACTTCATGGCCACTAGCATGGCTAAAATTTAAAAGACTGACTGTACTACATGCTGAATAGGGTCTGGAGCATCTGGTACTCTCATACATTGCTGGTGGAAATATAAAATGGTACAACCCCTTTGGAGAACAGTGTGGAAGTTTCTTATAATGTTAATCCTGCACTTTCCATATGACACAGTAATCCATTTCCAGATATTTCCCCAAGAGAAATGAAAACATATGTTCACACAAAGACTTGTACAAGAATGTTGATAACAGTTTTATTCACAATAGCTCCCAACTGGAAGTCACACAAATGCCCTTCAATAGGCGAATGGATAAATATATTGTGGTATACTATTTAATAATAAAAAGTAATGAACGATTATCAGTGCATACAACAACATGGATGAATCTTGAAAACATTATGCAAAAGAATACGGACACGGGCCCATATTATATGATCCCATTCATGTGAAACTCTATTAAAAAATAATTTTTTTTTTTATCCTCACCCGAGGACATTTTTTCCATTTTTTTTGTTTGTTGTTGTTCAGATAGAGTGGGAGGGGGAGAGAGGAAGAGAGAGACAGAGAAACATTGACGTGAAAGAGACACATCGAATGGCTGCCACCTGCACAACCAACCAGGGCCAGGGACAAACTGCAACCGAGGCACGTGCCCTTAGCGGTAACCGAACCCGGGTCTCTCTGGACCGCAGGCCGGCACTCTAACCACTGAGCCAAACTGGCCAAGGCTAAAAATTCAAATTTAATATGGACTGGCAAAAGGCAGATAAGTAGTTTGAGACCAAGGGAGAGGGAGAATAACAGACAAGAGATATAAGGAAACCTTTTGGAGTGTTGGAAATACTTCTTGATAGTGACTGTACTTACTATGTATGTTCTCAAAGGTCATCAAACTGTACCCCTATAATGGGTGTATTTTATTATATGTTAATTATACTTCAATAAAAAAATTTTCTTTTTAGTGCCTATCAAATCTGACTCTAGTTTAGAATTATCTGCTAAACTTTTAAAAATGTGTATTCTTCTCTCCCACATCATACCCAAAGAATCAATCTCTGGCATTAGGCCTGTTTATTTGAGGTGTTAAAAAGATTCAGGGATTGATTCTGATTCTCAGCAGGGCTTCAGAAATATATATTTTTTTGTATGACTTTTCATTCTTAATGTTCCCAGGACTGAATAAAATACAACTTGAGTAATAAAAGGCATTACTGATTGTTTTCATGTTATTCACATCCTACTTACTTTAAAAATGGCTTTAAAAAGAACTTTAAGTCTGTATTACTTATTTTGAAAGTTTGCTGTTTTCAATAGCATATGCATACATTTTTTTTATCCTCACCCGAGGACATTTTTGCATTTTTATCTACAGGTAGAGTGGGAGGGGAGGTGGGAGAAGAGAGAGAGAAACATCCATGTGAGAGAGACACCTCGAGTGGTTGCCACCCACACAACCCCAACCAGGGCTGGGGGCAAACTAAACCGAGGTACGTGCCCTTAGCGGAAACTGAACCTGGGACCTTCTGGTCCGCAGGTCGATGCTCTAACCGCTGAGCAAAACTGGCCAGGGCTGCATACATTTTTATAATACAAAATAGAAGAAAAAATTTTCTATTATACCACCTTTTTCTTAGTATATGAAATGAGAAATTGAAATGTCCTATCTGGTCCTCCAGTCTCAAATCCCTGATTACTAATGATTTGATGCATATTCTTTTAGATATTTTCCTGTGCTTATAAAAAAGGGATGTATATCTAGTACTGTATATTTCCAAATATTCATTTATATATTTAAATAGTATGTGTTGAGTGCCTGCTCTGTGGCAGCCATTATAGTAGATTCTGAGGATTAATAAGCCAAAGAACCATCTGGCCTCTTATGACTTGCTATTTGATGGGAGTATAGATATTGATTAAATATTAACACAAAACATATATTTTTAAACTGTAGCACATGTTACAGAAGACAATTATAGAATGTTATGAGAATACACAGTAAAAATTAAAACGTTTTCTGAAGCTTTAATCCTAGTGTGCTCTTTCGAAAGTATTTAGTACTGCTTAGTATGATAATTCATTTGTATGAAACACCTTGCACACAAAGATCCTTTTATCAAGTATTATTTCTTTTCTTTTATTATTAATAAGTCTTTTTGTATTATTTTAAAATACTAAAAAATCTTAAGCATTTAATTTCAGTGATAAAAGCACTCAGCAAGCAAATTTTTTTTTTTTTTTTATCCTCACCCGAGGAAATTTTTTTTTTTTTTACATTTATCTTCAGATAGAGCGGGAAGGAGAAAGGGAGGAAGAGAGAGAGAGAAACATTCATGTGAGAGAGACACATCAACTGGCTGCCACCCATACAACCCCAACTGGGCCCGGGACAAGCTGCAACTGAGGTACGCGCCCTTAGCGGGAACCGAACCCTGGACTCTCTGGTCTGTGGGCTGACACTCTAACCACTGAGCAAAACCGGCCAGGGTAACAAGTAAATATTTATAAATACCTCCCTGAGTGTGTAATTGTCACATAGCTATGTGCTATACAACATTTTGTTACTAAAACAAGAATAGCAACTTAAAATTAAAGTTTGTTCTAGCAGCACATTTTTGGAGGGGTTATTAATGTTGGGATGTGTCAAAACACAGGTGTTTTTTATTTTTTCAAAATCCTCACCAGAGGATATTTTTCCATTTATCTTCAGACAGAATGTGAGGGAGGGCAAGAGAGAGAGAGAGAAGAGAGGGACACAAACATTGTCATGAGAGACACATTGATTGATTGCCTCCTGCATGACCCCAACCAGGGCTGGGGACCAAACTCCAACTGAGGTACATACCCTTGACCAGAATCGAACCCATTAGTCTTTAGTTCCTAGGTGGACACTCTAACAGCTGAGCCAAACCCACCAGGGCCACAAGTGTTTTTAAAAAACGTATTGCACAAAATACTAATTGTGTTTAAAATTAATGATATTTATGGGATGGGAGTTTTGTGTTCGTAAGTTTAGGAAATGCAGGGTTAAATGAAGCTAAACATATTTAGGGTTTAACATTTAAGGTTAACTTTTTAGGCAAAAACGCTAGTTTCTTTTCAGAATCTTTGATATGGTACATTCTGAACCTTTAAGACAGAGCTGTAGTACACAGTGACTATTTGACTACGGAACCTTTTTCCCCTTGTCTTTTATTTCTATGAATATTTAAATATCTCAGGAGAGAAATAAATCCTCAATAGCATCTCAAGAAAATGGCGTATTTTATAGATATACGATATTTTTAATGTAAAAATGTTGTTTAGACATGATCTTGTCCTTTATAAGCACTAGATCTATATTTTGTATTTATATACAAAACATTTGGGAATTAATTAATACATAATGAAAGAATCAGTTCTCCATTCTTGCATTCTTACCTGGGAGAGGAAAGTGAAATTTATGTTTTTCTTATATTTCAGAACAAAGTAGAAGAGATGACTTAGAAGCATTAGGTCATATGTTCATGTATTTTCTTAGAGGCAGTCTTCCTTGGCAAGGTTTAAAGGTAATTGTTTTTCTATTTATTGAACTTTATAAATTGTTAATACATTAAGATTCTGTCTTTCAAGTATTTAATTTTAAAATTATGACTTTCTCAAGGTTTTTTTTTTTTTCCCTTCCTATTTTAGGCTGACACGTTAAAAGAGAGGTATCAGAAAATTGGAGATACAAAACGAGCCACACCAATAGAAGTGTTATGCGAAAATTTTCCAGGTAATGAATAATGCCATCTTGGTACATATGCTTATACACAGGAGACCAGAACTGTTAATCATTGCTTAAGTCTATAAATACTTTTTTTCATGTTTTAAAAAAATGAGCTTAAAATATTATTTAGAAGGTGTCAGCATTTGATGCACAGACCACAGGGGCAGTCTGTACATTTGCTTTGTTGAGATGGTAATAGAAGAAAAATCCCATCTTTTCATATTGTTGACCAGTACCAGCTAAAGTAATATTTTCTTCAATGACGTATTTTAATAAGTTAAAATATTTGTTAAGAAATTCCAGCTATAAAGTTTTGGTGTACAATGTTAGTCATTTGAATCTCAATTTCCAACTCTAAGTGGGTATATGATATATGATTATTCTAGTTTTCAAAATACTGTAAAACCTTAACACCCTTATTACCTTTTGGCTAATTTTATATTGGGGAGCTTAATGAAAATAGTTTGGCTTTTATGTAGATTTTTGGCAATTCAAATTAAACCAACAGAAATTTACTTAAGATTTCTAAATCAATTAAGAAATAAGAATAAAAAAATATATAAAATAATGTGTTGCTAATGTATTAAAATACCTGCTATGATTTGTGCAATTACACTGAGTAAAAAGACAACCAAACTTGAAGATAGAAGACTGAATTCAATCTCACTTTGATACTCACAGATTCTCCTGTACAATGTATAATCTCTGGTAGTTCTTTCTCAAGTTTTCTATATTATACATTGTCAAAAATTTTTAATTATATGTTTTTCTTTTATAATCTAGAAATAGAAAATGAAAAACAATATTAGTTGATATACTAACAGTTTAGGTATAGGCAGATTGTCTGCATTTTAAGAAACCTATACAAATTTCTGCAGGAAAAATGATGGTGCCAAAGTAAATTAACCAGATAATGAGCTAGAAAATGGAATAGTGAGATTCATCATGTGAGGAAGGTCACTGGGTGCCACTTTCACTGTCCATTGGGCTGTGTGTGATCCTGTTCTTATTGGCTACCAGGAATGAATTGGACTAGAAAAACAGCTAGGTGTAACCTACCAACTCTTACTATAGTGATTTTTTGTGCTCTCATAGTGAGACACTATTTTGCTCACCATTTTGCCTGTTGATTTTTATGGCTTTTCTTCTTCTTTTTCTCTGGAGAGTATGACCTTTTCATATCTCTAATACATTTGGGAATTTTAATGGCATGCATGATTATTAATTATATGACCAGAAATTTAAAAAAGAATTAAACTGAGCTTCTGTGTTATATTTCTGAGATTTATTTTGCTTAAGTCAGTTGGTTTGAGTACAACTCACAGCCAAGGTTAGGAATTTGAATCCTCTCTTGGTCAGTTAGTTTATGCCACTGATTCTAAAGGAATCCAGCAAGCTAGTGCATATGCTTTCATATATAAATCAATCCCCACCAACATTTTAAACAATTTAAAAATGTATGAGCCGCGTATGATGCTTTGTGATTAAATAATAATGCGTTAAGTTGTTAATTCAACCTCTAATACCATTGTAAAATAAAAATTTTAGCCTTTCTTAATGAAATAAAACAAAAATAATGTATGTTAAATTAAGCCTCTTATTTCCCTTTTGTCCCTATTTCCTTTCCTCCTTTTTAAAGAATATTTATTATAATTAAATTAAAAAATTTTAAATTGCAATAAAATTTTACTTTTTCTGTTTTTATAATACTATGTTTTTTTTAGACATTTAAGTAATTTTATTATTAATGAGCATATGGATAAATATAATCAGAATTTTTATTTCCTTTCTAGAAGAAATGGCAACATACCTTCGTTATGTAAGAAGGCTAGATTTTTTTGAAAAACCGGACTATGACTACCTAAGAAAGCTTTTTACTGACTTGTTTGATCGAAAAGGATATATGTTTGATTATGAATATGACTGGATGGGTAAACAGTTGGTGAGTACTCTCTGCTATATAATAAAATATTTTATTGTGCTTTTTTCCCACAGTATAGATTCCTGAGTTGGAAAGAGTTTGAGAATAAATACTTTTTGAAAAAAAGGGTTCATTTTATTTTCTTTTTAGGGATATTTCAGGTAACACAAAACTAATATTATTTTTTGAATTTTGTAAGAACCCTACATTTGGACTCTGCTTTTTAGAGTGACATTTCAAATTTTTCATCAGATATACTTTAAAAATATATATATTTCAGCTTTTTTATTCTTTATTGATTTTAGAGAGGAAGGGAAAGAGAGAGAGAGAGAAACATTGATTGGCTACCTTCTGTATGTCCCCCATTGGGGATTTGGCCCACAACCTAGCCATGTGCCCTGACCGGGAATCAAACTGGTGACCTCTTGATGCATGGGTCGATGCTCAACCACTGAGCCACACCGGCTAGGCTGGATACACTTTTTTTGATGTTATACTCTAGTGATTACTTTAGAAGATTATATAGATTTGTTTTTGTTTACTTCAGTCATATTTTAAAACATCTGTCATTTAAAAATATGTTTTAATTCTAGCAGTTTTAAGTGATCTCTTGGAATAGATTGATTCTTGAATCATGTTTCAGTTTTTAAAACTGTAGCTAAGTTTCCATAACTTAAAATATTATCTTTATGATAACTGTAGGATCAGTGCTTATCACTTAAAGAGACACATCATTATATTCTTTCTTTGAAGAGACAAGTTCTAAAAGATCAGATATTTATTCTCACTAGTCTTTTTTTAATAAGTAAGAATGTCTTAGAAAATTTTCGGTAATTATGGCTCACTGTTAGCAAGTTTTTATTCATATTTGGAACCACTGAACTCTCAGATTCAAGTATTTTTCAACAATTGATCTACTTAAGCATTTAATCTATATTTTTCTTTAATCCAAAGAGATTTGAATGTATATGGTATCTAAAGAAACTTTGATTAAAGTATTTATATTTTGAATTATATTTGAAAATTAAAAAAATTTTATAAGCCTCTTCTGAGTGACAAGCAATTTTATTAGCTTATTTAAAAAATCGTTCCCTTAATTAAAAAAAAATTATGTTGTTTATATATTAGCTTTGAAAATGAGGAACATGAACAGATACACTTTCATATTTTATGAAAAAGTAAGTTAAAAGTAACGACAGCACTAAAAGGTCTTTTGTTGATATAAAAATAAGTACTTGATATAAAGCATGTAAATACTTTGAAATCAGTTTAAAGAGTAGCTATGCTCCCTGTGCTTTAACTTTTAGATTTGACAACATATATGTATTGAGATTGATGTCTTTTCTTAAGGTCTTACTTTATTTCAATGTGCCTCTTTTTCCCTTGATTCTTTTAAACAGCTAGATATTAAATATGACTTCTGAAATAGGTGGTGTTGATGCTAATTATTATTGTATTATAGCCTACTCCAGTGGGGGCAGTTCAGCAAGATCCTGCTCTGTCATCAAACAGAGAAGCACATCAACACAGAGATAAGATGCAACAATCCAAAAACCAGGTTTGCTGCACTTTTAGATAAAAAATGTCTTAGTTTGTTCTGTATTACCTTCTGACAGTTTATAAACGTATTTGGTGTTTTACCATGCTCAGATGTCTGCTTTATATGTGTGTGTAAGTGTATACATACACATGTATGTATGTGTATGTATGTGTGTGTATATATATATATGTGTATGTGTATATATATATACACACACACATACAATGCCGATTTTTTCCTTCAATAGATAAAACATTATATACACATATGCTAAGAATCGAAAAATACTTATTTCCCCTAATGTTCACTGTAAGTTTAACCATAAATTTATAATTTAGTGGTGTAAATTAGTATAATTTTGAGCAACATTTGACATTCTGTTAGACTAGAAGTATTTGGATATCTTGTTGGAAAGCATTATAATAGCAGTTGCTCTTTCTATTACTTTAATACATTATTTACTGAGTTTCTAGTATTTGAGAGCTACTATTTTACATGTTGCAGAAATGCAGAAGTAAAAAAAAAAAAACACCCAATATACCCTATAATAAATGATTTTTGTAATGAGTGGCTAAGAGCTCACTCAGTTTCTGACATCATTCATACCTGAATGTGGTTTAACCCTGGGCAAATTAATCTCTCAAAGCCTCAATTCTCTCATTTATAAATAATACATGTTAATTCCTGTATAGTAACCCTTTGATAAATCTCAACTCTCATGGCTGGTGTTATTGTATCATGATTATTATAATAAATTTATAATTACTATATTACAAAGCAGAAAAGTTCTGTCTCACGAAGCATATTAATAAAGTGCCATGGAAGATTATTAGAATATGTGGGAACTATTAAGATTTTATGGAGAAGGTGGTTTTTGAGAGGAACTTGAAGAATGAATGACAATTTTAAAGGCAGATAAAGGAATAAGGGCATTTTAGGGAGAGTGAACAGTATAAAATATGAAGCAGAAGTTTAAAAATGTAGAACTTGTTTGAGGAACAGCAAGCAGTTCAGTTTGCTTGGAGCAGAGAGCAGGTTCAAGACAACTCATAGAAGATTGATCCAGGGTGAAATGTTTGTATTTCCTGAGTAAGGTAATTGAGGGCTGTTGAAAGTTTTGAGCAATGTTTTCATTCTTTTGTAAAAAGAAGCTTCATTGAAGCCATCTTTGACATAAAAAATGTTGCTATCACCCTGAGTTAAAAAGTATCTTCATTGTTTTTTGTTTTTATCCTCATTCGAGGACATTTTTCCATTTTTTGTACAGACAGAGTGGGAGGGAGAGAGAGGAAGAGAGAGAGAGAGGGAAACATCGATGTGAAAGGGACACATCGAGTGGCTGCCACCCACGTGACCAACCAGGGCCGGGGACAAACTGCAACCGAGGTACACGCCCTTAGCGGGAACCGAACCCGGGTCTCTCCAGACTGCAGGCGGACGCTCTAACCGCTGAGCCAAACCGGCCAGGGCTCAGTGTTTTTGATTGTAACCCTTTTTAGAAAAGGATTGTGTCCTTTTTTACTTTTATATCTTTCATCCCATCAGAGTTCGAGTGAAGGTAAACGAGATAAAAAAAATCAAAGGAAAAAGCACAACTTGTTAGAAATCATCGCAAAATGAAATGCTACTTTTAGGGGATGTTTAACATTGTTCTTTACAGCCAATTTAAAAGTTTAATTTTAGAATTTTGCCTTAGAAAAATTGGGACAATAAAGGGTCTTGTATGTGAATTAATTCCAAATATAAATTACAATTAGTTGACAGCTTAGTGCTCTGATAGTTGCTGTGTATACAAAGACATAGCTCAGAAAGTCAAGACGCAGAGTTTGTATAAATCAGTTAATTTCTCAAATGTACTTTAGAAGAAAATCAATAATTTGTGGTCTCTGAAGATTTCTACTTGAGCTCTTAGGTGTTGTAATAAGTGAAACTTTTATTTTTGACTTAAATTTTAATTTAACTATTTTAGAGTTTAACTTTCTACATGGTTCAGACATGTTTAGCTAGGTAGATTGTGAGCTCACTGAGGATGGGAACCATATTTTATTCATACAGTCCTTGTTGCACTAAATATAGGGAGTCATTTGTTTTTTTTTTTACTTCAGGAAATCCTTTGATATAGCTTACATATTGAATTTGAAACCTGGATATGCAAACTGTCATCATAATAGAAAAGTTGTATATCTAGAAAAAAATTCTTAAATATCTGTGAAGCCGTAAACAGTTTTAAATTGTATGAGAAACTCATAGTTCACAATCCCCAAAAAGAAAAGTTAAAACCTTTGCTATGTCCCAAGATAAACAACTGGTAACCTAGCATCAAAGTTTAGTGGATCCTGATATTTTATAGAAAGTGTTGGGTGCATGTAAATGTTTATTCTGAGGAGAGGTTGCATAGCTTTCACTGTCTTCTTAAAGAGGTCCCTGGCCCCCAAATGTTGCCTGTTGTTCTAGGCAACTTTTAGATATTTGTCTCAACTTTAGCATCCTTTTCATTTCCCCATCCTGTTTAGATTTTATCTCATATTATTTATTTAATTAAGCTATAAATCTGCTAAATTCTGGTGATGAGTTTGGAGGGTTTAGTGAAAAGGCAAAACTATCATAATTGTTTCCAAGACATACATCATGTCACAGAATATGTAATTTTGCATTGTACAATTTCATTTAGGGAACTTAGTGCTTGAACTTTTATTCGTTGTATCTACTTGACCCAAAGGGTTGTTCTTGCCACTGATATGCTTAGGCTCCCTATAAACCAATGTGCTTGGCCCTCCATGACAAAATTTTCTTGACTTTGTTTGAAAGAGGAAGTAAAGAGCACCAGAGGCTATAGAACATAATGTAATTGTGCTAAGGAGCCTAGGTAGTGTTATTGGAGCAGTAGGCTCTGAGTTTGAATCTCTCCTATACTCCTTGCTACCTCTGTGATTTATGGAAGTGTTAACATCTCAATGTCTTCATCAGTAAAATGAGGATAATTCTCTCAAAATGAGATAACACATATGAAGCACCTAATGCAAAACCAAATATGTCATAGAAACTTAAATATTGTATTTCTTCCCCTTCTTTTATTAGTGCTATCCACATTTTCCCGAAACATAGAAATTAATCCCTTCTAATTCTGCTAGTAGATTATTATTAGTTTATAGTTATTGCCATGCAGATTTGCCAAGTCATCTAAAAGCATAAAGAATTATCAGCCTATTTTAGGGAAATGGGTTTCTTAATTTGAACCACAAAAAAGATATTAAAGAAGCCAAGAGATTCATATATGTAGGATTGTTACTTTAAAAATTGTCATATTCTTAATAGTGTTCTATATAGCACATTCCACTTTTCAAAGAACTTTTCTGTTTTCTCATGTTATCCTCACAATCAGAAATAGGGTACTAACCAATAGAGAAAAGTTTTCTAGGATCTTAAGAACAGCTATTTAAGGACTATTTTTTTTTTTTTTAATCATACCTTGTTAAAAGTTGTTTTTCATCTGAAAACCAATGGGGACTTCTACTATAGAAAATATAACTGATGGCTTTTTAGCTCACTCATGATTGATTTGGTGTGCTTTCTTAGGCACATTATTTTTACTTCCCTAGTTCTTGGTAAATTTCATTGATAATGTTAGAGAGTGGAGTCTATGATAAAAAGTCTTTTCACTTCCAAAATTCTATGGTTGTATTTTATTTTTATGGTTGATCATTACATAATTGTAGCAATTTAATTAAAATCTCTCCACATGCAGTATCATTGCATCTGTGACTCAGAATAGTAAGGGTATTTTAAAATTTCCTTTTATACGTTTGTTTTCTATATTATAAGGATGCGATGTTTAACATATTGGGTTTTTCTTCTTCCATCCATGCCACATGCATTAAATAAATGGCAGTCGGCAGACCACAGGGCAGCTTGGGACTCCCAGCAGGCAAATCCCCACCATTTGAGAGCTCACCTTGCAGCAGACAGACATGGTGGCTCGGTACAGGTATTTTCTGATTTTTGCATGAGTGATTATTTCCCAAATTTATACAACTAACCCTTTTTTGGAACTTGTGGCATGATTTTATATCCTAATGAAAACTTGTTGCTGAACCTCTCCATAATTCTATTCCATTGTATTTAACCAAAAAGCAAAATTAACATGGTCTAGAAAGACCAGCAGGGATACTAAGATTTTGCCTTTGTTCATTTTTGCGAGTACATGCAACAGTATTTAAGTCATACAACAAGTTAGAAAAACAAAGTGTATTACTTGAAATATGTGTTAAACTTGATTTTTCAACAGTTAGCTCAATCTTTTTAAATAGGTTTATGTAATAGAACATTTTTATATCTTTTCCCTTTCATTGACCTGCCTCCTTCAAACTTAAGTCAGTTAAGTAGATATCTTAACTTTTTTCATCCTGAATATTCAGATTGTACTCCCTGATTAATCAGTCAAATAAACATGACCCTAATTTTTTATAATGGTATATTTTGAAAATATCAGATGGAGAAAATAATGTCAAGGACAATTATTTATTAAATCTTAATTTTCTAGATATTTTAAAAAATTTTAAGCAGTCTTTTACATTTTTTTATGTGTTTTCTTTCCCTTTTCTATACACTTAGAGTTACGTACTGTGTTCTGTCCTCTCATGCCCCCTAAGTTTTAGTCTTTTGTGTGTGTCATAGAAATAGGGAAAGATTACTGAGTCTTATTTCTTTTAAAATGTTGGTTTAAGGTAATCTAAAGGCTGGTTTAAATTAATTGAGATCATAAATGTTAGTTCAATCCATTTTAATTTAGAACCTTTAAAAATATTTTGACTTTTTTTTCCTTTACATATTTCCACTTGAACAATTTAAAATATATACAATCTATTGAATCTATGTGATGGATTTTATTCTTTTTTGATTTGAATTTTAAAATCAATTTTTGATTAATTCTTATTAAGTTCTCATATTTTTTTCACCATTTAATTTTAGAGGTTATTTAACCAAGTATTTTTATAGGACTTTGTGGCTTATGGAACTTTTAGCCGTGTTTAATAGAAGTATTTGAGTAGTTCTATAAAATTTTAGAAAGTGGCACTCAGGGCCTGAATTGTAAAATTTTTAATGAATTCAACTAATATTATTGGAAAAATTAATTGAGCGTACTATATTTAATTTGCATAACACAAGCTGGATTGTGTATGTATCTGTACATTTACGTGCTTCTTAGTGTTGTGTGTTGTCACAAAAGCAGCTTGCTGAGTGTCCAAGGAAATCCACCACAATTCAGACACTGTTAGAAAGCTGTCCTCCCACTCTGTACCCCAAAACTTAGCTGCTTCTTGCTCTGTGGGGTTCCCAAAAGTGGCTTATGAGATCTCTTTGGACTATCAGAGGGTGAATGAGTTTGATTGTATTGGCTCATCACTTCAGTATTTTATATTCTATTTTTTCACGTTTTCAAAGAGATATTTCAACTGTGGTCATTTCTCATCATCTCTAAAAACTGTTCTGCTTGTAGAGACGGATCTGACTTCATTCTATTATTGAATAAGTGGTCAATTTTACTTACTAGGATTCTAGTAATACATAGGTAAAACAATAAACTTTAAACTATTTTCATTAATTTCCTGAACATATTAAGTTGTTCTCAATGTGGCATCACTAAGGTTGTTCTAGATGATGTGCAAGATAGAACGTCTTGTCATTTTGACCTACAGAAAGGTCCTCAGATATTCTTTATCTCAGATTTGCTTTTAATAGGAACTGAATCGTGGAGTCTAAATTTGAGCTCCTGGTCTTTCCAGAATTATTATATACATGGTGGGGCAAAAGTAGGTTTACAGTTGTTCCTATGGAAAATAATACGATAATTAATAAATAATTATATAAGAGTAAACTGTGCGTACTCACAACTGTAAACCTACCTTTGCCACACCCTGTATATTCCAAATCAGACATATAGGTTACTAAGTTGATTATATTGTAGTTAAGAGCACAAGCTTTGGAGTCAGATTTGAGTTCAAATTCTTTCCCTTAGATTATTCATCAGTAAAATGGAGATATTAATAGTACTTCTACCTCATGGTTTTGTGGTGAGAACTTAAAAAAAAAGTATTTAGCCTAGAGGCTGGGGCTTAGATAATGCTAAGTAGTAGAATAATCTTTTGCATTTACAAATTAAGAAATTTCACTAGTATTTTTATTCATCTCTGGGAAGCAAAGTGTAGAGGTACAGCCAAAAGAGAGCATCGTCAAATGCTATTTCTTTAGTGAGACCATGTTAATTCATTAACTAGAAGGATACAGCTATACATTTAATAAACTTTTCCCATTCAAGAGACTAAGAATAATATTCATATAGATAAAGACTTTATTTTGAATCTGTTCTTGGCTTGTATGTGTTTTGGAAAAGCTCCTAGATAATTCAGGTGTGTCCTCTTTGCGTCCTTAGGATAAGTGGTAATAAATATGGCTGAGAAACTTAGACCTACCACTTTCAGTTTCTGGCCATTCATTATTTAGCAAATATGTACATATAAATATCTACTAGGGACTAGGCACTGTGCTAGATTCTTTGAATAAAAGGAAGAAGGACAGATATATGGTGCCTGTCGCCCTGGACCTTTTAGTTGGTGGGGAGGGCTAATAAACAAGCATTGTGATATGTGGAGAAAGCTTAAGGGAGAGAGAGAAAGATTGGGGGGAGAGAGAGATTGAAGAACTAAATAAAATTCAGTCAAGCAGGAGTTATTGAGAAAGGAGCCTGAGAGGTAGGCAGGAGGCAAGTCATGAAGGCTCTTAACAGGTCTTGTTATTTAATTTGGACTTTATTCTGAGGATAGTGGGTAGCATAAGGAGAATTAGATAGGTAACTAACTTGATTATGTTAGTGTTGTCTAAAGATTTCTGTTGCTGGAGACTAGATTGAAGGGAGGCAAGGCTAAGGCAGGGGCGCAGCTATGAAGTCTGTAGCTGAGGGAAAGTGATGGGTCGTGGGGATGAAGAGAAATACGAGGACGTGAAAGATAATTATAAGATAGGATTTAGTTGGATATGGGGGTTTAGGGGAAAGGAAGGGTTGAGTTATCCTTTTTTGATATGTTTCTACCTGTCAAATTAGGACCTCCAAAATAAGGTTTTAAAGGGTACCCATTGGCAGCAGATACTGCTAATCTCTAATTCCACTGTAGCACAACTCCACTGAACTCAAAGCTAACTGAAAACCTGACACTATGAACTGAGAGGTAATTGCAAGTGGAAGGAAGAAGACAAATATTAAGGACACTAAACTACTGAAAAAGTACTTTACATGGTATGGTGTACTCCCTGATTGTTTGGAACTCTGTAGTTGTACAGCCTTTAATTTGCATTTAAGGAATAATGCAGCTCTGAGCACTTGGGGGAAAGAGGCAAATCACAAATGGTGCCAGTGTGTTGGCCAGCCAGGCACTGTTGATGAAAATAAAAGAATAACATTAATAAGCAGTCTGATATTTTATTCAATATATCTTCAGAAACAAAAACAGGTGATGATAACAGAAAGAGAATTGTATAAATATATCTTGAAGTGGTAAGAAAACATAAATAGTTAAAAGTCAGAGGAGTTATAGATACCTAGTCATTTCATCATTATACTAATTGTTAATACTGACCTTTCTAAAACATTTAAAATAAACAGTTTCAGTTTTCTCTGTCAAATCTTTGATAAGGTACTATGAAGGAAGAAAATTGAGTGATTAGTATAATCATATCTTCCTATTCATAGTTTTCTAAGGTACTGAAATCTGCAAAAGAGAGGTTGTGGAAGGAGAGAATAGTAGTACCCATTATTTAGGGGGAAACATTTCAAAACCCCTAAGGGATGCTTGAGACTGAGATATTACTGAATCCTACAGATATATTTTTCCTATGATAAAGTTTAATTTATAACTTAGGCACAGTAAGATATTAACAACATAACTAATAATAAAATAAAACAATTATAATATGCTATAATAAAAAGTGTGAATGTGGTCTCTCTCAAAATATTATATTGTACTGTACTCACCTTCTCACTTAAAGAAAGCACTGTACGACTTCTTTTTGGCATGTCTGAATTGCCAGCATCATACTCTTGTGCTTTGGGCCATTATTAAGTAAAATAAGATTGACTTGAACACAAGCACTTGGGATATTGAGGCAGCTGATACCGAGATGGCTACTAGGTGACTAAACTGGCGGGCAGTGTATACAGTGTGGATGCACTGGAAAAGGGATGGTTCATGACCCAGGTGGATGGACAGTACAGGATGGTGCAAGATTTTATGCTACTCAGAATGGCAAGCAATTTAAGACATCTGAATTGTTTATTTCTGGAATTTTCTATTTAATATTTTCAGACCCTGGTAACTGAAATGGTGGAATGCAAAACTGCAGATAAGGGGAGAGTACTGTAGTTACATGCTTTTATTACATAAATAATTTCCAACTCATCTCCATTAGGTTTAGTTTAGGAAATTCCTTGTCTGGTTATCATTAGAGTAAATCAACATTATGAATTTATTTTGACATTTTTTTTATAGTAACATTTACAATAACATCTTGAAAGATAGGAATACTAAAAGAATTGCGTGTTCTGCTTAATCCTTCCATGAGTGAAAGTTAGAAGACTGAAAATACATTTTGGTTTATATTTGTTGAAAGACAATGAGAATGTCCTATGCCTTTGGGTCATCATTTGAAATGAATATCAATTATAACTAGCTGTAGTTTTTAGAATATGTAAGAAAGTTGGTTTTGTACAATACATGTATACCCTAGCATAGATCTGATAAACTCTTTGAAAATTACTCTTTTTATCTTGTTAGTGTGGTTCCTTATAGATGACTTCTAGAAAAGGCTGCGTTCATAAGTAAAATATATAAAGTTTTAATATTTCTAATATATTTTTTGGATAGATGGAGATTTGGTTAAGTAATATATTGAGCCCCTACTGAGTACTTGGTAACATGCTTACAAAAACTCAAATAGAAATTAAGAAGGTAGTATAATTTGTATGAATTTATTATACTTGGAAAGTATATTAGTTGGCCTTTTCCGTTCATTGACTACAAAGATATCATGTATTATCTTTGATGGTATTTGGAGTCTATGAGAATGACTTGTTTTTGGAAATAGACGGGGCAGGCAGCCCTGCAGTGAATCTTCATTATTCTGGCACTTAGCTGCGGGCTGTTGCCCCACCCCCTTCCCTTAAACTCAGATGTACTAATAGTAAAACTGCATTCTGGTTGCCTTGTTTTTTTTAACCTCCTAAAATGAGAACTGCACTAAGTTTCTTATCAGAGTGGGAATATTTCTTTAAGAACAAAAACCCTGTAAAATACCGGAATCATTTTTTTAAATGTTAGACCTCAAAGCTTCTGTCATTTTTACACAGACTTTCATTAAGGAAATCAGCCTGATGAACACTAATATTTTAGAGACTTTTATGTTCTAATTTTGAGTTGTAATTCTAGAAATGTCACTTAAATGGAATTGTTCTTTTGAATTTGGCTTATAAAAATAATTTGTATATATTTGTTTGATTGATTGTTTAATTGAGGTCTCCAGGAATATAATGACACATTATTTGTATTTGTATTTGTATTTGTTTCTTTTTTGTCAACTCCCTTTGCAAAAAGACCACTGGTTTTCTTATTTTTTTTATCCTCACTGGGAGACATTTTTCCATTTTTTGTTCAGATAGAGTGGAAGGGAGAGAGAGGAAGAGAGAGAGAAACATCGATGTGAAAGGGACACATTGAGTGGCTGCCTCCCCCATGACCCAACCAGGACCGGGGACAAACTGCAACCGAGGTATGTGCCCTTAGCAGGAACCGAACCCGGGTCTCTCTGGACCACAGACCAACGATCTAACGGCTGAGCCGAACCGGCCAGGGTGACCACTGGTTTTTTTAAGTAAAAACAATTTTAATGCCTTGATGTTATAGGATAGTAACAATGATACACTTTCAAGTCACTGCTGTAGGACAGCTTTATGGGAGAACTCTTGTTACCACATTGATTCTTTTCTGACCCTGGGATATTGGCCTTCACTCAGAGGGTTAGGGAATCTGGAAATCCCAGGAAAAATTATATAAAGGAAGATATTACTTCCTTTAGGTCTGGTTCTGATCAACCAGGTAGAATGGGATTTGAAACATTTCAGTAAATAAAGTTTATTGAAGTTAGTTATGACTTTGTGTGAACTGAAGTAAATCAGATTATATACTTATAATGCATATATAGTTGCTGTTTGCTGGAAATTTAGAATACCTGAGTTCAATTATGCTGCTTAAAGTGAGGGAAGGCACGTTAGAGGAGCTACCTATAATTCAAGGTTGGATCCCTCCAGCTAGCTCTGTAAGCCATTGAACAGAAAAGAAGAAACCTGTAGAATATTATGTTGAGGGAAGAGTAATGAAAATGGTTCAGTGAACTGTCGTGATTATCTAGTGCATGCAAGGCACTTTGCTCGTTAAAGGTAGTGGGGAATCCTCAAGTGTGAGAATTCTGTTTTCCAGCTCCTTTCCAATTCAATGTTGGGGCTATGACATTTAAAAAATTAAGAATAAAGAACCAAATTATGCTTTAGAATTAGAACAAATAATTATTTTAAAATATTTTCAGAAGGAGGGAAGAATAAAGAGGAAAAAAATCAACATAGAATTCAATAGGATGACAGGAAGGAGGAAGCCGGTGCCCTAGAAGCAGAGAGGCTGACTTCGACATAGGAGTTTCTTCTCCTTGCCTGTCTCCAAGATGATCAGGGAAATTGTGTGTTTTCAGCTGTAGGCACAAATGCTGCAATGTTCATTTCTGAGTACATGTTCCCCATAGGATAGGAAACTGAACTTCTATAATTCCTGAATTAATCCAGGTATATTGGTTGATTTCTAGTTATTTTCCTTAGAATTAGGAAGAGAAGGGCCTATTTCTTTATACTAGAAAATCAGGTCCACAAGAGCTGGGGTGTTTGTCTGTCTTGTTTGCTATGGTATTTCCAAGTTCCTAGGACCATGCCTGGCATGTTGTAGATTCTCAGTAAGAACTTTTGAATTAAGTTTTAGAGGTAAGGGACTCTGTAACTAGTACTCTTAAGTCTAGTAGTCAGCTGCAGCCCTGGTGCTCAGGCCTTTGATATGTTAACATTTTTTTTCTCATAAAGAGATCAGGTAGGAGAAGTATCAAAGATGATTCTTTGATTTTGAGCCTGGAGGTCTGGGAAGATGGTAGGTAGGGCTTTAACAGAAGTTGGAAACATAGGAAGAGTAAGACATTTAAGAGACTACGATACATTTGGTTTTGGAAATGCTGAATTTGAGGTGGCAATCTTGTTTAGGCTCAGGGGATCCTTTACATAGAGATGATAATTGAAGCTTTGATTTTAACAATAATAATGATGGCAACCATTTATTGAGTTCTTTACTGTGTGTCAGTCACTGTACTTTATATATTGATTTCTTTTCATCCTCATATCAACCTTGTTCATTAGATACTGTTGTTTCCCATTTCATGGTTGAGAACACTGAGGTTTAGCACAATAGTGCATCTTCTCCAGGGTCACGTAGCTAGTAAGTAGTAGAGCTAGGTTTTGAATCTGGATTAATCTTATTCCAGGCATCAGCCAAGTGATAAGAAATGTAGAGGAAAACGAAGATTGAGCGAAGACCACTGAATATATTTTCTAGAAACATTGGAAACCTTCAACATATAATATGTACTCTGTAGGGGCAGAGTACATATTACAAGGAGTTAAGGAATAAATGAATGGACATTTTTATAAAAATTAAAGTGGGAACTTAAGACTTGTTTTCAAGACATTTGGGGTAAGGTAATAAATAGAACAATATGGTAAATTTGTAGGGTCAAGTGAAATTTGAGAGTTCTGTTATGGTTTCTATCTTGTTTTAGGATTTCATGCATGCATGTATGCATTCATTATTCCAACAAATATTTATTGAGTGCCTACTGTGTGCCAGGTAGAGTAGAAACATATAGCAGGAAACAACACAAAGTTCTTACTGTCATAGAGTTTAATTTTAATGGAGGTGGGCATGGTTATCAAGAAATAAAATCAGAAAAACATTAACATGGATAAATGCTATACAAAGTTAAAAATAGAATATAACGTGCAAGAGAGTGTCTGCATGGATGTTTTAAATTGTATGATAGAAAGGCCTGTTTTAGAGACATTATCTGAGAATCTAAAAGATAAGAAGATAACCAATAATCAGGAAGAGAATTTAGGGCAGTGGGAATAGATAATGCCAAAGTCTTAAAGCAGGAATAAGCTTTGCCAATATTAGATGGAGGCTGTTGAGCAAAGGGAAAGGTGGTATGATATCATAGAGGTAGGCAGGATTCAGATCTTTTTTGGGGCTTTGTAAATTGGTGTAGAGTATGAATCTTTATCCTAAATGAAGTGGGATATCAGGCACTTGAAGAATTTTAAGCAGGTAATTATACAAGATATAATTTACATCTTAAGACGAACACCTTGGCTGTTGTGTGAATAATACTTACATTAATTGGGGAGGACATACAAGTCAAAGCAGAAGACCGGTTAATAGGTTTTGTTCTTATTCACACAAGAGATATTGGTGGCTTTAGACTGAAATCTTAGTAATAAAGGGGACGGAGAACTGATTAGATTGCTAATGTATTTCAGGGAAGGATATAACAGGGCTGCTGATGGATTAGATTTGGGTTTCAGTCAAAGAGGAATCACAATGACTCCTAGATTTGGGGCTTGAACTATTGGGTGAATGAATGGGCAATATGAGAGGGAGACCTGAACATGATTACATTGAAACGAAGGATTTATTGAAAGAACCAATATTGAAGTTTGCAAGGGACATAATTCATGATAAAGCAAGGTACCAAAAGAGTGAGCACAGAAGAGGGAAGTGATTGAGGGATAAATGTAGGAGTTAGCCTTAAAAATTAGAGAGAAGGAGACAGAAGACAGACATTTCAAGATGAAAAGGAAGCTAAAAAGCAAATATTGAATTACCTTGATCTTTAATAGCTAGACCTATTACAGTGTTCAGTTAAGAACAACTAGATATTGTTTTATGTTCCTCATATTAACTTTCTAATTTAAATATTTTAAGCTTAATTATGTTTATCATCGTATAACCTATTATTTTGCATATATATAATTTTTGTTTGTTTGTTTTTGCAGGTTGTAAGTTCTACAAATGGCGAGTTAAACACAGATGACCCTACTGCAGGACGTTCAAATGCACCCATCACAGCCCCTACGGAAGTAGAAGTGATGGATGAAACCAAGTATGTATTTGTTTTCTTGTTTTAGTAACTTTTTGTTCTTAAACTATGCATGTTTGCATTTATAGTCATGTACAATTATTTCAGGAACTTTTTTTCAAGGAATAGATGCATGTAAGATAAGTGGTATGTTTATTTTAATCACTAAGTTTAGATTAGTGTTATTTCAGTAAATATTTTAATAATGCAAAATAGTTATTTAAGAACTATGCTCAAATTCTTGTTTAGAACAAACAGCATATTTTTAGCTGTTTATTTTTAGGAGTGTTAATGCATGAAAGTTATTGCTATATTATCAATTTTCATTTTTTTCTTTAAGCATAAGAATAAATAATTTTTAATTTTATAGTATGCTGCATGCATTAATATTACTTTTAATTTAGTTTTTGTTAATGTAAATTGTAAGAATGCTGCTTGGGAAAAAATTAAGCATGAAAAACAATGTGATAATTTTAATGTGGGCTGTTTTTGATGATCTCTCTCTCTCTCTCTCTCTCTTTCTCTCTCTCTCTTTTCTCCTTGTATTTTGTGTGTGTAGCTGCCAGAAAGTGTTGAACATGTGGTGAGTCCCCAAGTGCAGGCAGGCAGAAATAGCTCCGCTGACTAATTTCAAAGATTTTTAGCACTGTATTGTGATTTTTCAATACCTTTCTACATAGATGTTATAATTTGTAAAAGTTGTTCAAAAGTATTTGATATCATTTACATTAGCTCTGAAAAGCAAGAAATAATTGTTTGAGGAGCTCTTTTGCCTGCTGCAGCTTTTGCTTAAAGTAATATAGATTTGGGGGCACTTTTTAATTGAGTAGATACACCCACCCTGCTTGTGCTTGTGTATTTGTTTTGTAGCACAGAGGCTTTACTAGCTGTTTCAGATAGAAAGGCAGGCTTTTGAGATAAGCTTTCTTTTTTCCTGTTTGTGACAATTAAATACACATAGCAAACCCCTTACCCCCACCCCAATAGTATCACTAAAACAGTATTTCATTACTAACTAATAATATTGCCATTGTTAACACATGATTTCATGATAAACTATAGTTGTGTTATGCAAAATTCTCATCTAAATATTTTCTGCTACTTGCAGATGTTATGAAAGATAATATTCTATTAGTTAAAGTAATTTTGAGTTTAACTCTTGCTGACATTTGCCTTTAGTTGTTTTGCTGTGTATAAAATGCTTCTCTCAGTTTCAGGTCAGTTTTTTGAGTCAGCTTTGGAGTGAATAAAGAAAGTTGCTTAGATTAATAAATTTTGGAAAGTTCTCATATTCAACACGAACCTTACATAATTCCCCAAATAATTCTTCTTTGCTGGCTACAAGATGAGGAAATCTATGTGGATATATTTTTTTAAAGAATAGTTTATTGATTTTTTAGAAATAGAGGGAGAGAAACATCGACGTGAGAGCACAACATTAATTGGCTTCCTCCTTCACGCCCCCACCAGGGATCAAGCTCACAACCTGGACATGCGCCCTGACCAGGCATTGAACCCACAATCCTTTGGTGCACGGGACAGTTCCCAACCGACTGAGCCACACTGGCCAGGGCTGTGGATATTTCTTTTTAAAGAACAATGATCAAGTATCCATTTTAATCACTTTTGACTATGGGACTCATTGACAGTATGACTTGGTTTAGTGGATTGCAGGATATAATTAGTCAACTACAATCTTGTGCATTTTTATGTCAAGAATGAAAACAATAGTTTATGCTCATTTGTGCAGGCCTAAGTACTGTCATAGAAGTAGGTGTCAGATTAGAATGCACGTGTCCTTTGTAATGAGACAGGTTGTAGAATCCTACTTCTGCCACTTTGTTACCTTCTTTAGGCTTTTTTTTTTCCCTGTAAAATGAGGCTAATAATATCTACCTCATAGCTTTGAGAAAGTTAAATGTGATAAAACACTGGTATTTTGTCTGGCAGATGGCAGGTACTCAGTAATTTTTATCACCCAGATTTATCTCTCCTCTTCCACTTGCCTGTGGCCTTTCTCATCTGTGCTCTTCCCAGGCTGTGCTTCTTCTGTCCTTGTCCCATATTTTTACTTTCATACTCACAGTTCTTCACTGAAAACCAGCTGCTCCGTGTTCACATCCTACTAGATTCTTGCTTTCAACCAAATCCATTTTATTTTCCCATTTATTCATTCAGTAATTACACTGCTGGGGTTTCAGAAATATCTGATGCCACCCTTTCCCTTAAATAGATGGAGTACACACTAGTTGGGAAGATTGCAGTTGTATTAGCATATATCAGTATATGATTAAATACTATGAAAAAGGTATAAAGAGAAAGATTACTTACTGACAGGGTGAACAGAGAATGCTTTATGGAGGGGGCTTTGAAGAATGACAGTAATTTATTTAGTTGAGATGGGTGTAGGTGTGTGTTTATTTTTATGGATTTGGGTTTCTTTACATAGATTAGAAGATGAGAGAAAGGAGGTAAATGATGGGAAGGTTATTGCTGAAGGAAAGGTCCCCTGGTGCTTGGAGCATCACGTCCAGATGCCTGGCCTGGGACCACGGCTCTTCATGCCTTTCCTAGTCCAGCCCCTGCCTATCTGTCCTAGCTCCATTTTCCCTTCTGAAGCCGATATTCTGTTCTATTCTGACGTCGATATATTACTCTTGATCACTTTCCCACTTCTGGAAACTTCTTGAATTTCTTGAAAACAAGGCCTTTTTTAACCTTTAGAATCCCCATGCCTAAAACAGTATGCCTCAGTATATTATTACTAAATAATTGACTATAAATAATGTGGTGTATTCGTACAATGGACTATTAACAGGATAAAAAATGAAATTGAAAACATGCTAAGTGAAAGAAGTAGACACAAAGACCACATATTATATAATTCCATTTGTATGAGATATCCAGAATAGGCAACTGTCTAGAGACAGAAGTAGACAGTAGTTGCCTAGGCAGGGGAGAGGAGGGCAGGAGAGACTGCTAATAGGCAGTGTGGTTTCTTTACAGGGTGATGGAAACGCTTTGAAGTTAGATAGTGGTGTTTATTACTGCAGTATAAAACCACTGAAATGTACACTTTAAAAGGGTGAATTTTATAATATTTGAATTATCTCTTAATAAAGTAGTCATTTTAAAAAAAATGGATAACAATCCATGATTTTAGTGATGCTTCGAAACTTTCCTCACTCTTTACTAGTTGAAAACCTAACACAAAATTTTGTTTTCCTTTCATCAGGGTTATTCTTACATTCCTACAAGTTTACTATTGCATTCCTCATATTCTTTTAGTCTGTGATTAAGAAATGTGATAATGATTTCTTTTTCTAAATTGTATCTTATGCTTCTCTTCTCCCTTCCACCAGTTTATAGGTAGCTAGGAGCCTGCTTAGAATTCTCTCACAATGTGTTTCCATCTTCCCTTTCTTCTCGCCTGTGATTGGCAGCAATCTCTCTCAGCTTATCCCATTAATTGAACATTATCTTTCTCAGAACAAGAATGAAAGCTGTGTGTTTTAAGCCAAGAAATGGTATAATCAGATTGAACCTTAGGAAATTAATTTGGCAACAGTTTTGAGACTTAACGTCACTTGCTGGGATTCATCAAATTGCAAAAGAACTTCCTTTCTTCCTTGCACAGTGCAGGCTGCCCGGAAAGGAAGCCTAACGGATGACGAGACCGAGAGGAGAATGGAAATAGGTTGGAACCAAATTTAGGAGCTGTGTGGACTTAATGCCATAGACAGTGTAGAACATTGCTGAGACGTAAGAGGAAAGGCGTGGCCATACAGGTGGGGCGAAAGTAGCTTTACAGCTGTTCCTATTGAAAATAGTAGAGTAATAAAGAGATGATAATAAGACAGGAATGAACTCTGCTTTGCATACACACAACTATAAACCTACTGTGGCCCTACCCTGTATTTTTGATGGGGGAACTTTGGATGCAGATTGGAAAGAGGGGAGACAGACTGGGAAGTCATTTAAAAGGCTCTTAGCAATGGTAGAGACAGACAGTTCTCAACAAGCAAGCATAAGAGGATGGGAACATTTTGAAAGTCATTTCAGACGTGAAAGTCTAGACTGATTGCATGTGGATGGAACGGAAGATGTTGAAGGGAGGATGGGTGTGCAGGTTCCTGGTTCAATAGTTCTGTGGGTGGTCTTGCTCTCTGATCTAAACTCTTCTTGGTTAACTGAACAGTTCTTCATTTTTAAAATCAAGAGATCGAGAGAGATAAAATTACATACCAGGTATACATTTTAAGGGAAAAGACCTTTATCAAAGAATTAACAGTGAGATGTCATAAAAGGTATTTTCTGCATACTCATCAGCTTGGATGAGGAGAGGCTAGGTTCTGTGCCATCACTGGGGAGGGTCTGGCAGGTTACCAGCAGTCTCTCAACCAAAGGATGAGCCAGTGAGTCACTGTAGAAGGGACAGATAAGAACTTCAGATCTGAACAGAAAAACGTTCTTCAGTTTCTGGGTAGATTTGTGAGAAAGAAGAGTATGACATAATCTAAGAAAACAACCCACAATCTAGATGAAGAAAAAGGCAGTGACTGAAGAGGAAATGGTGGTGTCATGTCAGTGGCCAAGCCTTTGCCCTTACCAGGATGATTTCTACAAATTTTAGGACTTTGATCCTAAAATTTAGCTTCTTGTTTCCTACTTAAACAATATTTAAAGCAACAACCTTAGAATTCTTCAGGAGCAGGACTTAACATTTATTTCCAAAGGATTTAAGAGTAGAGATGGGACGTCAAAGCTTTTAGACTAGCTACCAAATGATCATGTCGGAAGTACAGCCTGACTTACGAGAACAATTGGCTTCCTGGAACTACATAAGGAATAATCAAGAAAGAACCAAGAAAAAGAGCAGCAAGGATAGAAAATATATTTTAACATTTTAAAGATCTGAATAATTTTCTAAGACCAGGTAATGAATTTATTGATAAAAATAGCTTGCTCACATTATCTGTGAGAACTAATGTATGTGCTAATTCCTAGAAACTATGCTATAATTTCTAGTTATTATTAACAATAACTTTTTTCCCTTTCAACTGTACCAAGTGTTAAATAACATTGTCTTTTTTTATTCATTTGCCTATACTCATAAATTGGCGGCCTGTGTGCACTCAGTATCTCCAGTGTTCAGTTCCCAGCGCCCAGGCCAAGGCCCCAGGGGAGTGGAGACCTAGCAGCTGCATCTAGACAGCAGTGCTTCCTGAGAGTCAGACTCCGTTAAGAATGTGTGCAAGCCATTTTTCCCCCCAGAAGCTTCCTCAGGCACTAAACTCTGCATTTTGTGAGCTTTCACTAATGGTACATGGCCCATGGCTAAAATCTCTGATTGTAGAACATGTTGCAGAATCTTTACTAGTTTCTTCCTCTAGGAGTTGCGTTTATGAGGCAAATCCTTTATTTATTCAGTAATATTTAATAAGTAACAACTTTGTGCCCATTTGTGAGATGTATCAATGAGCAAGATTATATGAAGCTTACATTCTATTTAATAAATAAGTACATAAAATAAATTTAGGTTATTAAATACTGAGAGGAAAATAAAAGAGTCATTTGTCAGAGTAGTGGTAAGGGAGCAGCATGTTTTAGGTTGAGTGCTCAGGGACAGGAGATCATTGAGATGGTACCTAACTTCTTAATCACCAAGACTATAAATCAGCTGTTTTGGTAATTTCTTTAAGAAATCAGCCACAAGTTTAAAGATCAATTTTCTTCTTCTGTAAGTATATCATATCTTGAGAGCATCTCTTTGTTTCTTTTTGGATATGTTCATATTGCATAAAGCAATGCTGCCCTCTGGTGGTAGTCAGTTTAATAGCATACCAACTTTGCAAATCTCTGTCAAGGGTGTCCTCTAGTGGGATTTATTTCTGAAAAATAGATGTCTTCTTTAGATTGCATTTGAATTTAAAATCCTTGAACAATTATAATTCATTTGAAAATTTTATTTTGTCTGAAATAAATTTTGGTAGTGGTTTTTCTTGATCAATAATACTTATACAGTTGAAGGAAAGGATACCTAAGACGTAGGAGGAACTCAACTGTCAGAATTGAAAAGAGATTAATGGTGCTGGCAAAATAAAGCAGGCAAGGAGAATTGCTAATACAAGTATGAAAAATCTGGGATTTGGACTTGTTCATCACAGCATATATTATTTTAAATTTCCCATTCCAAAAAGCTTGTATGTACCTTAAAGCACTTTTTCAGTAGAAAAATTTTAAAAGAATGCATTTTGGAATTTGAATAGTCAAGTGACTGTATTTAGGAACAGTGAATATTATTGGTAGACTTTATATTAAACAATAAGTTTCCATTGAAATAGGGCCATATTCTTTAATTTAACATCCTAAATATTTGGTCTGTTTCTTCTAAATACCAATTTTTTTGATATTTTGTTTTTTACAGTACAGACATGTTCTGACTCTTTTAAGTTTTTTTTTTTTAATCTTCACCCGAGGACATTTTTCTATTTTTTGTTCAGATAGAGTGGGAGAGAGAGAGGGAGAGAAAGAGGGGGAGAGAGAGAGAGAGAGAGAGAGAGAGAGAGAGAGAGAGAGAGAAACATCGATGTGAAAGGGACACATCGAGTGGTTGCCACCCACACAACCCAACCAGGGCCGGGGACAAACTGCAATTGAGGTACATGCCCTTAGCGGGAACCGAACCCGGGTCTCTGCGGACCGCAGGCTGACGCTCTAACTGCTGAGCCAAACCGGCCAGGGCTGGAAACTCTTTTTATTTAAAGCCCTTGATTGGGTAATTTATTTCTATTATTTCTGATAGTCACCTCAATAAAAGTAAAATCCATAATGATTGATAACTGCACATATTTCTTAGTTGAATCTTTATCAGGTGATATATACAGTTTTGAATTACATTTTATGGTCTCGTCATCACATGCTGTTGGAGTGCACTTAAAAAATGCAGTTGTGTGATTTGATTTTAAATGCCCCACAGTGGTTTTATAATCATAGCATAAATCACAGTAAAGGGTCTGAAATTAATTTGGTAATGTGGGTAGAGAAATTGTGAAATTTAGCTGGATAGGTGGATTTCCATTTCCATTTATTTCACCAAAAGATATAAATATCTAGCAATTATTTCATCTTCCATAATCTTTTGCCAAGTAGGGCATGTGAACCTGCACAGTGTCTATTATGCATGGCTTGAAAATGTTGAGTTAATATCCTTTTAGGAAGATGGGCTGGTAAGAATTACAGGAATATCTTTATAAAGTCACCATCATGAGACTTTAAATTGGCAGCATTTTGTTGATGGATTCATCATGTATATAATTGTCTTTCTTTTATTACAATATGATTTATACATTGACACACACATGCACATACATACACACAACTTCAGTGGGGAAACAAAAGAAGCCCCTTTTTATGTGGTGCCTGTCATCTTTATATTCTGATAGATTGGATAGACTGAATGTTTTTTAAGAGTGGGAGAGGGAAAGCCAGATCTTTATTTGAAAAAATATATATATTTGTTGTTGTTGTTGATTGCTGGTCAGTAGTTCTCATTCTCATGAATTTTTGATTCGTACCAGCCTCAGTGTTGTTCTACAGTGTTGTATGTGTTTTACTTCTCATGACTATGAGAATTTACCATGAGAAAATAGTTCTCTCGGGGATCATCTCTAGAATTTTTTCACCTAGGAATAAAAAACAGTACGATGTTTCCTTCTTGGACTACAAAACTGAATCAGTTTTAAAATACAAAACTGAATCACTTTGATTATGCTATTTTAAATGTCAATTATACTTTTTACCCTAATTAAAATAACTTATGATAAACTTGACCTTTTAACCCCTAAAGAATGAAAAAGTGCCAGTCTTGATATTCTCATTCTGCTTTGTGTGTTTTCTCTTTTCCAGTTTGTAAACATGGTGGAAAATGTTTGCTGAAGAGTGTATTTGGGATTTCTCTTTTTATTTTTGGAATAGAAACGAATTCTTAGTGAAAACAAAATCCCCAATATTAGGATCATTATTACTTTTCTAACAGTGGCTTCAACAATCATATATAAATATCAGGAAGAAAGGGAGAGAATCCATAAAATGAATTTTATAAAAGCATGCCATGCTGGAGATTATGACTATCCAAAGTAGTAACATGGTGCACCAGTTAGGATTCAGAGCCCCATAGTTTCTCTAGTTTCTCCACTGGTCTTTTGTGCAGAGCCTTCTTAGTTTAGTGACTCCTTTTAATGTTGCTCAGAACATCTTGCTATTTCTAAAAGGCACATTGATAAAACAATTGCAATAACTCTGCCATAGTTTCACTAATATTTATGCTTCACTGGCATGTTCACTGTTTACCTTGCACTAGCCTGTTGCTTTTTATGACCATTTAATTTAATACGATAGAGTCAGCTTTACGTTGTGGCATTTTAGTACTCTTATAATAAAGGAAGTGTTTCCCTCCATCTGCAGGTGCTGCTGTTTTTTCAAACGAAGGAAAAGGAAAACCATACAGCGCCACAAATGACTCTGGACACAGACAGATCATGGGGAGTTACTTCTGTGTTCACCTTCTGTCCTGTGATGGAAATCATCTCTGTAGTGACCACATACATTTTCAAGGACTCACTCTTAGAAACAAAAATGTCATACCTTCATACTTCATTTTGCGGTTGTCTTACATTCATATTTTTTTCTAATTTAACTTTTATGGAAGCTTTAAAGTTTTGTCAAAACATGAGTGCTTTGCCCATGAGTGAATGGAATGGACCAATGAGGTAGTCTTGATAAAAACAGTTCTATAGAACATTGTTCAGAGACTCTCCTCCTGTCATAGAAGGCAGTACAGTATCTTAAATGTCAACCAGTTACAGACCTAATCTGGTTTTTATAACTTCTGTAAGAGCATAATCAAATGGGAATTTTCTCCCCAGTGGACAGTGCAACAGAGGAAACAGAGTTGCCCAAATATTTAAAGAAGTTAATCCTTGAGAAGTTCAATTTTGGTGTGACATCTGCATTGGTATCAGTATTACTGATGGTACTGCTATTCATGAGTCACGTTAACATTCTCTCTGAAATCATGGTACAGTCACTGCCCAGAGGTACTGAGGAGAAAACTCTGTGGGTTTGGCAGATGGTAGTGGGAAAATGAATCACAAGTAATGTGGTTAATATGAGCTCTGCTTTTCTTTTTTTAATTTTAATTTATTGTTTTGAGAGAGAGAGAACGGAGAGAGAGAGAGAAACATCGATTTATTGTTCTACTTATTTATGCATTCATTGGTTGATTCTTGTATGTTCCCTGCCTGGGGATTGAACCCACAACCTTGGTTCTGTCCAGCTGAGCTCCCAGCCAGGGCTGAGCTCTGCTGTTTTTGCACCACCATGTGAAGAACAGCATTGCTGGAGTGGCAAAAGCACTTATTTAAAAAAATGCAAAATATTTGTAAAATGTAACTTTATGCTTCCAGATAATGTATGTGAGACAGCAAGAGATGAATATTTTGAGAAATGAGATATGTGGGAGTTTTGTTTTTGTTTTTGTTTTTTAAATACACTAAGGAGAAGAAATAAATGTGAATCTCATTGCAATGTATAGGCTGAAGTCAGAAGAGATCCCATTGAAACCCACTGCTGAATGATTACATTCTCCCCTAAGCAGAAAACTTCAGATGTGCCACTCAATGGTGTCTGTTTAATTATATGCTCTTTTATTAAAAAAAAAAAAAAAGATTCCCAGCAATAAAAACTGGGTCACTTTATTGCCCTCTGTACACATTAGTCTCTTGATTTCAACTTTGCTGGTTCTCTGGAATTTTCTGACTTGTTAGCATAATTTTGATGATTGAAAACTGTTTTGGAGAGGAGGGGTCAGGTGCTTTGCCTCCATGGTCTTTTGAAGTGCCTGCTGATGAACAGTTACGGTTGTGTAAAAGGAAACTCATTCCATTGTTCAAGTGCGCTTTGTTTTAAGCCATAAAGACAGGTGTTCTTTTGTCACATCCTTCCAGCCAGAATTTTCAAGAAGAGTTAAAACAAAAAGACTGGCTAGAAAGAATTAATGTTGTTCAAATCTCATATTCATCTTTCATTTATAAAGTTGTTACTTACTCCTTCCTTGCAGCCCCTTCTGTGTCTTTAAGTGCGTGCCTCCAGGCATGCTTATTTATTTTTATTGTCTCAAGGTAACATTTAAAATGTGTAAGTAAAGTAAATAAATCTACATTTTTGACTTCATTATTGCATTTACAGGGATTTAATTGTACTTTGTAATTTATTTTTCTTATTAGCCAAAAGTTCAATGCGTTGTTTTTGATGAATTAGGCACCCATATGAATATTGCATATCTGGACATTGTTTATCATTGTTGCTCTGAATCCTATGAATGATCTTTTTAAGTTCTTTACTTTACAGACCTACACTCAGCCTAGAAAACATTTGCTGTATAATTTGGTCAACAATTTCCATCCTATTTGTATACTATCATGACGTCATAAACTGCAGGAGTCACATACTGAGTTATTTTTGTTTGCTTTGAACAAGGTAGATGGATGTTTTGGCCATTATAATGTGAAACCACTTCTTTCTTTACAGTATTTGACCAAATATGTGTGTCTATGATATTTGTAAATACATGCGATATCTGTATTTCTTATCATAAGCCTATTTAGTTTTATTCTCGGTAGGGATTTTGGACTGTACAGTGTTTATATGATCTGAACTCCTTATACATAAGAAGGTGTGTATATTAATCCAATTATGGACTTAAGATATTTTAAAAGTATGAATACCCTTATTTGCTGCAAAGACCAGTATGTAGACATTTGCTTTTTAGCAATATTTTTAAGTGCTCCATTTTAATGCCAAGGAATAAATCTTTTGGCAACACAAACTGGTCAATAATAGGTAATGCAGGTATGTTCAGGTTAAGCCAACAAAGTTTTGCATTTTTATGCTTTTCTGTCAACATTAATGAAGTCAACATTGCCTGAATGTCTGAATAATGAAACACATCCCTGTTTAAAAGTATGTAACTGAAAAAGAAATAAAAAATAAAGGTAGTTTTTTTTTAAACTTGCTCTTAACCCTTTCCTCTAATCATGGGTAAAATAATGCTACTCACTAATTTGAGATAGGAATTTTTAAAATCCAGTTCATTGAGTTTAGTATATGGGAAAAACAGAGCTATAGGAATATGCTTTTATTTTTGGTTTGCTTTGTTGGGTCCCCCTCTAAAGAGCACATACCAGGAAGTATCTAAACTTTCTTTAATGAAAGTTAAAAAAATATTTTTTACACTTCTTTGAACTAATTAGTGGAGCAATTAATTAAAGCAAATGCCACTAATAAACCAAGAAAAATAAACAGAATCATTTATTCCTTTTTTAAAGTTTTTTATTCATTTTTAAAATTTATTTATTTTTGTTACAGATGTTCCTCCTTCTCCAACCCCAGACATCCTCCACCTGATCCCCCAACCCCCCAGCATTGTTGTCCATGTCCTTTGGTTATGCATATATGCATAGAAGTTCTTTGGTTTATCTTACCTTCCACCCCCGCTCCCCTCTGAGGTTTGTCTGAGGAGCCTTTCTATGTCTCTGGGTCTATTTTGCTATTTAGTTCACAATATTCCGCAAATAAGTGAGATCACGTGGTATTTGTCTTTCTCTGAGTGGCTTATTACGCTTAGCATAATACTCTCCAGGTCCCTCCATGTTGTCTAAAGTATAAGAGATCTCTCTTACAGCTGCATAGTATTTCATTGTGTATATGTATCACAGCTTTTTTTTTTTTAACATAGATTTTTTTTTTTAATTTTTTTTCTTTATTCTTTTTAGAGAGGAAGTGAGAGGGAGAGAAAGATAGAAACATTGATGAGAGAGAACATTGATTGGCTGCCTCCTGCATGCCCCCCACTGAGGATTGGGCCCACAATCTGGGCATGTGTCCTGACCAGGAATCGAACTGGCGACCTCTTGATGCATGGGTGGATGCTCAAGCATTGAGAGCCACACCGGCCGGACTACCACAGCTTTTTATCCACTCATCTATTGATGGATACTTGGGCTGTTTCCAGATCTTAGCAATTATAAATAGTGCTGCTATGAACACAGGGGTACGTATATTCTTTCTGATTGGTGTTTCAAGCTTCTTAGGATGTATTCCTAGAAGTGGGATCACAGGGTCAAATTGCAGTTTAGTTTTTAATTTTCTGAGGAAACACCATAATGTTTTCTATAGTGGCTGCACCAGTCTGCATTCCCACCAGCAGTGCGCCAGAGTCCCCTTTTCTCCACACCCTCGCCAGCACTTTAATGATTTGTTGATGACAGCCATTCTGGTAGGTGTGAAGTGATACCTCATAGTCGTTTTAATTTGCATCTCTCTGATGATTAGTGATGTTGAGCATTGTTTTCATGTGTCTTAGCCATTTGTATGTCCTGTTTGGAGAGGTGTCTATTTCGGTCCTCTGCCCATTTTTTAATTGGGTTCTTTGTCTTCCTTTAGTTGAGTTGTATGAGTACTCTATATGTTTTGGAAATTAACCCTTTATCTGATGCATTGTTAGCAATTGTGTTCTCCCACACAGTGAGTTCCCTTTCCATTTTGATGGTTGTTTCTATTGCTGTGCAGAAGCTTTTTAGTTTGATGTAGTCCCATGTGTTCATTTTTTCCTTTGTCGCTCTTGCCTTAGGCATTGTATCAGTGAAAATTCTGCTGCCTGTGATGTCTGAAAATTTGTTGCCTACTTTTTCTTCTAGGATTTTTATGGATTCATGAGTCACGTTTAAGTCTTTTATCCATTTTGAGTTTATTCTTGTGTAGGGTGTAAGTTGGTGGTCTAGTTTCATTTTTTTCATGTAGCTGTCTAATTTTCCCAACACCATTTGTTAAAGAGGCTGTCTTTACTCCATTGTCTGCTCTTGCCACCTTTGTCAAATACTAATTGAGAATAATGTCTTGGGTCAATTTCTGGGTTCTCTGTTTTGTTCCATTGTTCTATATGCCTGTTCTTGTGCCGCTACCAGGCTATTTTGATTACAGTGGCTTTGTAGTATAACCTGATATCCAGTATTGTGATCCCTCCTACTTTGTTCTTCTTTTTCAAGATTGTTGTGGCTATGTGGGGTCTTTTAGTTCCATATACATTTTTGGAATAGTTGTTCTAGTTCATTGGCATTTTAATGGGGATTGCACTGAATCTATAGATTGCTTTGTGTAGTATAGACATTTTAATGATGTTAAATCTTCCAATCCATATACAAGGTATATGCTTCTACTTCTTTATATCTTACTATATTTCTTTTTTTCAATGTCCTGTAGTTTTCTGTGACTAGGTCCTGCTTTGGTTTAGTTTATTCCTAGGTATCTTAATTTTTTTGCCACAATGGTAAATAGGTTATTTTTTTAGTTTCTCTTTGAGTTCATTATTGGTGTATAAGAATGCCATCGATTTCTTGATGTTAATTTTGTATCCTGCTACTTTTTCCAATTCATTTATCAGGTCTAGTAGATTTTTTTTTTTTTTAATCCTCACCTGAAAACATTTTTGCATTTATCTTCAGACAGAGCGGGAGGAAGAGAGAGAGAGAGAGACATCAAGTAGTTGCCACCCACACGACCACAACCGGGGCCGGGGACAAACTGCAACAGAGGTATGTGCCCTTAGAGGGAACTGAACCTGGGACTCTCTGGTCCACGGGCCTGTGTTCTAACCACTGAGCCAAACAGGCCAGGGCAGCTCTAGTAGATTTTTGATAGAGTCTTTAGGGTTTTCTATGTACAAATATGCCGTCTGCAAATAATGGCAGTTTCACTGCCTCCTGTCCAATTTGAATCCCTTTTAATTTTTTCTTCATGTCTAATTCCTGTGGCTAAGACTTCTAGTACTGTGTTAAATAGCAGTGGTGAAAGTGGGAGTCCCTGTCTTGTTCCTGTTTTTAAGAGTAATGGTTTTAGTTTTTGCCCATTGAGTATGATGTTGGCTGTAGGTTTTTATGTATGGCCTTTATTATGTCGAGCTGTGATCCTTCTATTCCCACGTTGCTGAGCGTTTTTATCAGAAATGGGTGCTGGATTTTGTCAAATGCTTTTTCATCATCTGTCGATATAATCATACGTTTTTTTGTTTTTCTGTTTTATTATTATCCTCACCTGAGGACACTCTTCCATTTTTTTTGTTCAGATAGAATGGGGGGGTGGTGGAGATATCGATGTGAAAGGTACGACACATCAA